TATGAAAAGGACCCTAAAGGGGACCCTAATTTAGACAACTACCCATGGTACCTAGAAACAGCGGAAGGCCGGGGCGCGCCTGAGTGATCGTGTCACCCTCCGTGCCAAGGGATTGCTTGGCCCAGTGGAGCTCCTCCTTTAAGTTCCGAACGACACGGCCCTCCTGTTCTGCGGTAGCCACGACTCGAACGACCTCAACCAACACACCCAGGAGCAGGTTCATGATCGTCAGCGGGGCGATGAGTATGAAGACTGCAAAGAGGCTCCCGACGATAATGTCATCCTGAAAGGATAGCCGTGCCATGGAAGCCAGATCATTGTTGAAGCAACCGTGAAAGATCAGGCTGAACATGGCTGCCGGAAGGGTGCTGTAGTAGCTGGTGCCTGCATCTGTGCCCACTGCAATCTGTGAAAGAGCAATCGCGAAGATGTAGACGATCATGAGTCCCAAGATCACAGTGAGGATCACGGATCGAAGCGCTGCTCCGATGGCACGGACTAGGATCATGACCTCTGGCAGAAATCGGAGCATCCGTGCGATCCGAGCAACTCGGGTCAGCCGGAGCAGTCGCAACATCCGCATGATCGAGGAGTCGAACCTCAGGGTGCTCTCAATGGCATCGGGTCCATTCTTTTGCATGGGCTGTTTAGAAGGGCTCTATTTTTCAGGCGCTAAACGGGTGCAATAGCCTTACATGACAAGGGCTTCGGGCTGTGATTATACCTAAACCCTAAACCCTAAACCCCAAACCCTAAACCCTAAACCTATACTGACCTTACTTCTTTTTGGCGGTGGGCTGGCACAGCACAGGACACAGCAAGCCGAAGGCTGGGGCCCGCACAAAACCAAGTCCCCGCCGGTCGCAGAGAGGATCACGAAGAATACCTGGGCTCTTGTTCAGGTTTAGGGTTTAAGGTTTAGGGATTTAAGTTACCATAGTGGGGATCTCTAGTAAGTACTAAATCCTTTAACAAGAACCCAGATACCCAAGTCTCCAGAACCATGAAGAAGGCAAGGAAGAAGTCGTAGATGAACCAGAAGTCGCGGAGCGCACGGAGCTTGGACTTGAAGGCAAAGAAGCGGACAATGATTTCAACGCTGAAGGCCATGCACAACATGTTCTCAACGACAATAATGCCTGGATCAGCGTTGATCAACAACGCGCTCTCATTGATGGTTGATTCGATGCCTATCCAAACAGAGTTGAGCAAGATGATGGTCATGGTCGTGTGCTCAAAATATGGCGAACGAGCCAGCTTTTGAGCGCAGCCTTTGGTGTGATAGTGCTCGGTGGCAATGTAAGAAGGCTCGGCAAATGCATCTCGCATTCGAGTTTTCATGTCGAGAGCTCTTAGCTTGCTGTTCAACATCTTCTTCTTTCTCTGCTTTTGGCTTTCTTTCAGATACTCGGCTTTGGGGTCGACCACCTCCTCCTCCTCATTCTCAGACTGCTCTGGCTGCCGCTGGCTCACCCTCAGGTCACCTCTGAACTTGCGGCGCCCACCCCTCACGGCACCGGGCAGTTCAACGTCCGAATCGGAGGAGGTCTCGTCCTCGTCGTTTTGCCCGACTGGCTTTCGGATGCCCAACTGGGGGTGGTGGACGCTGGCCCACGTCTCCAACACGGTCTGCGCCCGCTCCAGTCGATTCAGCACCTCTGGTGCATGGAGAGGTGCTGCGACCATGGGTGTGGCAGGCACTGGAGCCGGGCCCAGGAGGGTGCCTGCACCTGCAAAACCTCCCGAACCAACGGAAACACCATTGGCAGCTAGAGGGGTGGGGGCTGCCGAAATGGGCATGGGGCTGCTGACCCCAGTGACCACAGGTCCCGAAATGGTACTAACGTTGGTTCCGGGGTTTCCGGTCTTCATGATCAGCGTCTGGTTTCCAAGAGCACGCATGGCCGCAAGCTGCTCACGAAGCTGAAAATTTTCGGCCTCCGCCAAACGGCAAGCAGTGTCACGCTCCACTAAGAGCTTCTTACAGTGCTCCAGCGGCGAGGGGCCGTTGCCCTTCTTCGGCCCCTTGGCCGCCACCAGCTCGTTTCGCAGCTCCTGCAGCTCCAGATCTCTCATCTTCTCGGCCTGTTCCTGCAAGTCGAGCATGCGCTTGATTTTCTGCGCGTGCAGGATGAAAATGCCGTTCATCTCCTGAAAAGGAGCTCAAAATGCACCAAGAGACCTCTGTGATCTTTGGAAGGGCTACATTGCCGGATGCCAACCAGAAACTTTGTGCCACGACACCATCGCCCCCCCAAGACAGGCTAAACCCTCAACCCGAAATCCTAAACCCTACTTTGCGACCCCTCTGACGGACAAGAGGCTCTCCGCCTCAGATCCTCCCTAAACCCTAAACCAAGCAGGAACCCTAACACCAACAACCCTAAACCCTAAACCCTGAACCCTAAACCCAACAACCCTAAAACCCTGAAACCCAACACCTTCCGTTCCCGTCCTCCAGCTGATCGTCAAGCACCTGACGCATCGCTGCAACAGAGGCCTTGTGCACCTGCAAATCAAGGGACCAGGGGAGAGGCTCACTTAGAGGGGCCCTTGGGATCAAAAAAGGGGCTTTATCAGACTATATAAGGGGTACAGAAGGGTTCTGCAGGGTATTAGGATTAGGGGTCCCTTCTAGGGGTCCCTCCTATTGCCCCTTAAGCAAAGCCAGCCCAACAGCAAGCGCCTAGACATGAACTAGGGAAGGCAGTGTTCTTTGTTTTGGGGGGGAAAGTCACAGCCTTGAAGATCACATCCAGATAAGTTTGTCACATCCCTACAATCTGGGAACACATGCTATTTAAAGGTTGAAGAAGACATCCCCAGAAGGAGCTAAACGCACCTTTCTTAGGGCATTGCCATACACTCTAGTACATTAGATCTCATGGGTGCTCTTTCTTGTCCCCAGCCTTCTGCTTCGGCAAGGGTGCTATCTCTTGGAGCAGCTTTGGCGGCTTCGGGGGTTTCTCCTTCTTCGAGGCATCCTTTGGCGTGTCCATCGGGTCTCGGCCTCAGAGGAAACCCAGCGGACCCCCGGGGCCCGACCTCTGAGGCTGAAAACGGCTGAAAATGGAGAGGCTCAGCGTTTTGCAAACTTTCGAGGTTTCACCCCACGAACTACCCTAAACACTAAACCCTACACCCGAAACCCTAAACCCTAGGTATTCCTTTAAGTCTTCAGCCTAGGATTCCTAGGACGGCAGTGCGAGTGCAAGAGTCGCGGGGCCCCCGGCCAGCGACCCAAAGCTTGCATCTTCTCTCACACCAGAATTGGTGGGGAAACCCCGGAAGACACACTTGCATACGGCTGATGATATAGAATCCTGCATTACCTTAAGGACCCTAAACTATGGAAATTATGGTATATTCCCTAGAATGGGTAATGCAGGATTTATATCATCAACCGTGGTATGAGAGGCAGCATCTGAAGAAGATGCCTGCAACGGGTCGAGCTCTGGCGTCAGGGCCGCACCTGTCCGAAGCGGAAAAAGGGGGCTTAAAAGGCCTCCCAAGGCCCCAGGCGCCGCATGCAGAGCCTTAGGATGGCTTAGGGTGCCTTCTTGGAGGTTCATGGGTACTTATAAATATGGCTATAAGTCCCCTAAGATGGGCTATAATTATAGTTACCCTACTTATAACCCTACTTATAACTACCCATGAACCTCCAATTTGGGCTTACCGTGCCCTTGCCTCCATATCCTGCCGCCTCACAGGCTCTTCGCGCGACGGATGAGGAGGTCGCCTGGCATGGTCGGATGTCCAATCCGATCGATCCCTTTCTCCGACTCGCAGCCTGAACAGACTGCTTCAGGTCCACAAGGGCTGACACGCCTGCAAGAGCCAGAGCCGGCCAGTTCTTTTGCGGATATCAGGCTTCAGCCAGTCTGAGAGGTATTTTGGTAGATGGACGTGACGATTCAGAATCCTTCGCTGGGCAATGCATGGTGCGTCCTCTGCGAGTCCAGGAGCTCTGGGATGACCTGACAGTTCTGGTAGCATATACTGGAGTGCCACAGATGCCCAACTCAGTCTCTTCAGCTCCTCCCGAGGTCAGAACGTCTGCTGCTCTTCGCACGAGGGCCCACCTACATTGAACCGCAGACCGCTGCTGGTGGCCTGGAAGATCCTGGAAGCAGAAGGATGCGGAAGGCCTTCGCCGGCTGGACTCTCAGCAGGGTGGCTACCTGCACCGAGAAGGCCAGCGGGCTGCCAAACAAGACTGGATGGGTGGCTGGGCCTGACTCCATGCCAATCAGGTCACCTGCAAGGCGAACAAGTCTTCGGCCCCTTTCGCCTGCAGACTCCCGGTCTTTCCCTAGTGCCCCAGTGTGCCTGGCAGCGGCTGGGGTGCAAGAAGCTCCGCGGCATCGAGGAGCTGCTGCCTCCGCAACCCGAGGCCCAAGCCCAACACTGCCCCAAGGCCCCCCAGATCTTCCCAGACTCTCGCATTCCGAGTTGCATGGGTCGGCTGCAGATCTCCTCAAAAAGAGTCCCCCCCGGTGCTTTGCATATGGCCGAGCTCTGGCTCTTGGAGTTGCTCCTCGTGGGCCTCGACTGCATCCAGCTCCGCCACTATTTCTGCACCACAGCGCCAGCACCTCCGGCAGTCGCTGTCAGAACCCGGCTATACAAGGCCACAGCTTGAGACATCGAAGCACCGGCCTCCCCGTGAAGCCCAAGTTAAGCCGCGACCTCGCAACGACTCGAGAAAAGACTGCTGAAGTCATCACCACAAAGCCGATCAACACACACACACACACACGCACACACACGCACACACGCACACACGCACACACGCACACACGCACACACGCACACACGCACACACACACACACAAACAAACACAAAACCCCGTCTCATGTACATGTTCGCGGCACTGTCGCGCACCTGCGCCGTTGTAGCTCCGCCTGGATCTCGTCGGACTGCGAGGTCGCCGGAGATGTTGGAGGTCCTCAAACTGAAGCTGTTAGATTTAAGACACGGAAGCTTGTACTTATACGATGTGTCTATTTCATAAGGGTTTTACGGTAGCAGAAATTTCAGAGCCCTCTCCTTCGGCTTCGGCAGCACCCACCTGTCTGGTCAGAACGATGCAAGACTGCTACACGCTGAAACCTACGAAAAGGACGACAAGTCCAAAGTCTGCACAGCTCAGATGCAGGCCTCAGTTTTGACTGGATCGCCACTGTCGGCCTCTGGCGCGGATTGCATGATCAGCTACATTGCAGCTACATCTACAGTCCAAATCTAAGGGCATTATGAATCTGGAGACTGAGGCTTCGGGACTACTTACAGTAGTACTATATACCTTCATAAGGTGCTGCCTGTGTCCATCTTGGAGACAGAGGAGACAGAAGATCCGTCGTCTGCGAGGCCAGCTGAGATAAAGCGCCGCTGACGTCCGGCAGGCCCCGCCCCGCGTTGGGAGCCGAGGCATCCTGAGGATCCTTACGCCCTAAACCCGTTTAGAGCTTCCTGGAACACTAAACACGGTTTAGGGTTCAGGGTTTTGGGTTTATGGGTTTGTTTGTTTTTTTTGACACCTCTTTTCCGTCCGCACAATCCGATTGGTTGGAATGCCTATCAGGCGGAGGCAATGGGCCCTCAGGACTTAATACGAGGATTCAACCACCCACCGGCCCCTGCAGGAGCTGTGTCACCATGTTGCATATACAAAGATTGGGTGACGGCCAGGAGCAGAGGCGAACAGCGGCTGTGGTGGTACTAAGCAATAACACAAGACAGGCAAGAGTATGTGGAGGGGCTCGGGCGCTGCTCGGCTCCTAGCGGATCCCCTCAAATAAAAGCATACACTCGGTTGCTACCGCTCAAGGGTTTAGGGTTTAGGGTTTAAACCCTAAATCCCTAACCCTAAACACGAAGGCGTTTCTGTCGCTAGTATTTGGGGTTTCAGGCTTTGGCCTCCACATGTCGGTCCTCCTGGTTCTTGCTCTGCACGAACAGGCCGGATGCTTGAGAAGCAAGCGATTCCGCAGCAGTCTTGATCTTCGAAAGGGAACTGCCGACCGGGGTGGCGGTGTCCTCGTTAGAATCAGTAAGAAAAGCCAGTGCGCGCGGCTCGATACCAAATCCATGCATTTACCACACAACAATCTTGGAGAAAAGGACTGCATGCAAGGGGCAGCTGCAACATCAGGCCCGTCCGGGCACGACTGACTTGTCTCGCTCACCTCGCCCTCAACACTTGCTGACCTTGTTGTGGTTGTGAAAAAGCCCATGGCCTGCGTCGCCACAGTGCCAGCTGCATCCGTCCACCGAGACAGTGATGCAGCAGAACCATCCGGCACCCAACTGGTGGTCTGCTTCATGGAATCCGCCGAGTCCTCGGATTCACTGCGACACACAGGCGAATCTTCTCGTTGGTGGAGTTCTTCCAGACCGGCTTCAAAGCAATGCAAGGCATCTACATAACGGCAGGTGTGAAGGCACCTGAAGGACTGTCGTCTACTGTTCGTGCGTCGTCCCGAGAGAGAGCTGAAAAAGCTGAAAAACCCTCCCTGAGCCCCCGCAAATCTCCCTGTCCTGCCGCGCCGTTGCTTGCCCGCTCTCTTCGCCATGTCTTGGGGTCTCGGAAGTCTCGGGAAGCTGCTCCGAGCCCCCCATCTCCGGGGACCCATCAGAGCCACTTGGGGAGGCCGCAATGTCCTCAGCCAAAGATGCAGGGACTTTCATTCACACACAAGCTGCAAACATGCCGCAACCTGCTGCAAGACCTGTGCCAAGGGGCTGGGGGTACGGCTTCACATTGCACTGGTGGCTCGTCCGGCGCTGCAGGGGAGGCCTCCACATCCGGCTTGGTGCCAGACAGAGCATGTTCGCTCGTGTCGCTCTTGGAAAAGAGGCCGGCCGCTTGCGTGGCGAGCGCCTCTGCAGCGTGAGTGAACTTCGCCAAGGAAGCGCCGGAGCTGTCCGGAAACCAGCGCTCGCCGCGCTGCGTAGACGGAGCGCCGTCCTGATACAAAGATCAGGCAAGCGACAAAATCGAAATGCGTCGTTGCAGGACGCACAGTTGCTGACTGAAGGGTCCTTTGGCAAACTGGGATCTGGGGGTGCATCTTGTGCAGCCGGCATTCCAGCATCCTCGAGATTTGCAGGCTCCGGCGCTGCCTTGGGCTCCTCGCTCTTCGAGAAGAGCCCGGCCGCCTGGCTCGCGAGCATCTCGGCAGTACTCGAGAACTTCGACAGCGACGCCGAGCCGTCAGGTAACCAGCTGCTGTACTGAGCGCTGCCATCCTAACTTTGCAGAATGCCGGAATTCTTTCGAGCACATTCTACAAACAGGCAAAAGACCGCCAGCCGAACATTCTACAAACAGGCAAAAGACTGCCAACCGAACGTTGCGTAAATTTGCTTGGGCGCTTTCAGCTCCTCGGGTCCCTCCGAGTCTCCCGCTTCAGCAGGCCTCGCTCCTTCCTTCGCGAAGAGCCCTTTCCTGGGTTCTTGTTAAGGGATTTAATTTAAGTTGCCATAATAAGGAAACTCTTTTTGCTTACTATAGATCCCCATTATGGTAACTTAAATTGAATCCCCTAACAAGAGCCCAGTTTCGTGTGAGAAGCGAGGCTGCCCGCGGCCTGCGTGATGTTGGCCAGGGCTGCGCCTGTGTCTGGCAGCCAACTGCTCGGCTGCGAAGGACAGTCCTGAAACGCTGAACCCTCAACCCTGGCCCCGCCGGTAAACCCACCCTTCCTAGGGCCTTATGGAAAGAAATCGCGATAAGGTAGGTAGAGTTTTCGGCTGTCTTTTTGGGGTGGAGGTAGACCCAAACTTCAGTGCGTGTTTTGTCCTATGTCACATGCCCGCTTAAGCTATACCTTCAAAAACTATAGGCCAAAGAAACTGGATAAGCTGCTAAGCCTAAGAAAAAACTGAGAATGCTCAGGTGCTGACTCAGTGCTGACGCGTTCTGGCTTCGGAAACAACGCAAAAGTGGACGGGCTTATGGTTCTAAGGTTGAGGGTGAACCCAGGGGACCTCGATACCCCCTTCAATGAGCTCAGGAATTCGACTGTCAAGCATCTAGCAGTGTGGATGCCGAGACCAGCAAGAAATAGCAGGAATCTAGAAGCTTTGTGTGAAGGAAGCAACGAGAATCCATGCATGCACTGCTCCTTCTAAACTCTAGTTCCCACGTGAGGAAGACGGCCTGAACCGACATGAAACGAGCTTGAAGGATACAACACAACGACGACGACCTTCCGGTCTCTAGCCAAGTCTCTTTGGAGTCATCCGTAGCTACCGCAGGTTGCACTGGTGGCTCGTCCGGCGCTGCAGGGGAGGCCTCCACATCCGGCTTGGTGCCAGACAGAGCATTTTCGCTCGTGTCGCTCTTGGAAAAGAGGCCGGCCGCTTGCGTGGCGAGCGCCTCTGCAGCGTGAGTGAACTTCGCCAAGGAGGCGCCGGAGCTGTCCGGAAACCAGCGCTCGCCGCGCTGCGTAGACGGAGCGCCGTCCTGACACAAAGTTGGCATGCAAGATCAGGCAAGCGACAAAATCGAAATGCGTCGTTGCAGGACGCACAGCTGCTGACTGAAGGGTCCTTTGGCAAACTGGGATCTGGGGGTGCATCTGGTGCAGCCGGCATTCCAGCATCCTCGAGATTTGCAGGCTCCGGCGCTGCCTTGGGCCCCTCGCTCTTCGAGAAGAGCCCGGCCGCCTGGCTCGCGAGCATCTCGGCAGTACTCGAGAACTTCGACAGCGACGCCGAGCCGTCAGGGAGCCAACTCCCCAGGGCGCTTGGGCCTTGCACCTCCTCAGGCTCCTTGCTGGCGCCGAGACTCTCGGGAGCTGCCGACTGTTGAGTTCGACAGAGTCTAGAAAGACATGACATGAAAGGAATGTTAAACAACGTCGAATTGCCACAGCTTGCTTGGAGGCCTCAACGGCTTCGTGTGGGGAGCCCCTAACATTCGTATCGAAGCTGCCGGCTTCGGTGCAGTTCCACTCTAGGGGAGTCCCGACTGACGCTTCACGCTCCAGAGCTGCAGAGTCCCGGCCGTCTGGCAGGGCCACGGGCTCGGAAGCCCCCGTCTCGGGTCCATCCTCCCGGTCGACGAAGACCAAGCGATCGGAGGCATCGTCGACATCGCAGCAATCCTAGTTGGATGCAGCTTGGAACGCGACAAAGAGATGAAGAGCGAGAACAGACGAGGAGGGAGGTCCTTCTCCGCCTCTGCCTCCGGCATCTCGGGCTATCTCTCTTGCATCAAACTGCAAGACCTGTTGCAGACTGCTTTGGGGGGAGATGCCCAGTTTGCTTGGATACGGTCTGAGCTATTCCTAGAGTCTAGAAATGTGCCATCTTGCATGCTTCGAGAAATGTCGAGCTCTGGGGGCCTGCGGTGATTCGACTAGGGTCTCCTTTAAGGGACCCCTTTAAAGGGCTGTGCTTTTCGGAGTTGCAGCGCCGCGCGAGAATCACTCCTGGAAACCGGTCCACATCCGAATCACTTGTGCAGGGAAAGCAGCGGCTCCCCTGCCACTGCCAACGCTACAGGTAACCCACAATGATAGCAAATGCCAGTGCCAGTGTTGGTCATTTAGCAGCATGACCATTATCACGGTCGTAATCACGATATCATGACAAACATGCCAGTAGTCAAATAAATGATGATGACATGAGCAACGACAAGAGTAGTTGTGGACGAAGACTGAGATCATTACTGTGAGTCGTACTCTTGAAAAGCTCACTTTCAGGACTGGAGTCCGCAAGACGACGGAACTCTCCTGGCCTGCACCGCAAAGAGCAGGTAGGCGTGTCGTCCCTACGCCTCGGAGGCAGTAATCTAGACACCCACCCCTCAGCCTAAACTCAATTGGTTAGTTAGGGCTTAGGGTTGAAGATATCAAACCCAATAAGAATAGTTATGGTAATACTAACAATGATAATGGCAATACCAATAGTAATAATAATAATAACAATAAAACCAATAATAAGAATAATAATAATAATAATAATTTAATACTAATAATAATAATAACAACAACAATATAATAATAACCCGAATTGACCGAAACCCTGAGCCTCCAGGCCCGGGAGCTGAAAGCGCAGCAACGTGAGGCCGCAGGCAAAACGCACATGTGGACATAAGCAGTCGGGTTTTAGGGTTTAGTGTTGAGGGTTGAGGGTTTAGGGTTTAAGGGGGGTTGAGTAGGGCTTGGGGGTTAGGACTTCGGGGCTCAGAGGGCCTAGGGTTGGGGGTTTTAGGGGCTAGGGGTTAGGGGTGTTGGGTGTTGGGGCTTCTCGGGAGGGTGTGCAGCTCAGGTTTGCGGCGTGGGGCTTGGGTGGATTTTGTCCTTGCTTCGGGGCTCAAGGCCTAAAGTCGCGGGTCTCGCTGGAATTCCGTAAGAACCGGAGGTAACGCTGAAGCGTCTGCACTCACCGCTCACTCTCAAAGCTGCACGCATAAGCCCGCAGGTCACAGAAACGGGTAGAGCATATGAAGATTGCGGGCGCAACTCCCTTGCCACAACATCTTAATAATAATGATAATCATATAATAACATAATAATATTAATCATAATAATAATATATATATATGTGTGTATGTATATATATATATAGTTAATTTCAAAGCCGGCAGCGACCTTTCCGCCTGCGCACGGTCTTTGACGAGCTCTCTGCGAGCTCTGCCCTCGTCCGAGCTTTCCACTGCTCTGGGCGGGCGGTGGCCTCAAGCTTCCTCGAGCTTTTCGCCGAAGATTTGCCTTGGCCAAGCTTCGACTTAGGCAAGGGCGATGCCTCTCTGCGATGCCTCTCTTGGGGCCTGGCGCCTCGAAGGCCCTGCCTCCTTGCATCAGCTGGGATGAACAGGGGTGCACAGCAGCAAAAGGGCCCCAGCCCAGCCTGAAAACGGTAGATCTTTTGGTGCTCCCGACTCCTCATGCCTTCGGGAAAGCTGAAAGGCTTGCGAAGGCTCTACGACGCTTTTCAGGCCCCTGCGGTTGCTCCTCTGGCCCGGCTTCCTGGTGAGGCGCCTGCAGTGGAGACCGGTCCGGTGGGCAGAAGCAAAGCCACAACTCGCGAGCACCTGCGACTTCTCGCTGTCCTTGGCCGCTTCCTTGGCGAGTCGCTGCCTCTCCTCCTCAAGCTTCTTCACTTGCTCTTCAGCCTGCCGCTGGTAGATATGTTACGATATGTTACCCACTCCGTGGCCCTTTCTCACAGTTTTCACGAAGCGCCATGAACCATCCCAGACATGCAAAGCGAGTCTTGAGCCTCCCTCTTCTTCTTCTCAAGGGCAGATAGCTTATCTTCAAGTGGAGGTTTGTCGTCGCTTCCCTTGTCGCTGTCGCGGCTGTGGGTGCCGTCTTTGCCAGGTTCCTTGGACTTCTTCTGACTTTCCACGTCCGCTTTGCTATGCAGCTCCTGGCTGCTTTCCTTGTCCTTGTCGGAGTGGGCAGTGTCGTCACCAGACTGCCGATGCTTCCCAGTACCTTCCGCATCTGCTTTCTTGGCGTGCAGCTCCTGGTTGTCCGACGGCTTGGCCTTGTCCTCGGACGCCTCGCACGAATTCGTCGAGCACACCCAGTTTCATGTGCAATCCCTCTTTCGACATGAGCAGTTCTCTAAATTACGGTCCCACTTTAGGTCCCCAAAATAGTACGGCACCCTTATAAAAAGGACCCTAAAAGGGTACCCTGATTTCGAGAACTACCCACATGAACACCTTTGTGTCGCCCCGTTCTTCGTGGCGAGCAGCTGTGACGGACGCAGAGGTACTCCAGGCGGAGGCGGTCGCATCAGTGCAGCAGGTGTAGCTGACGGGGCCTGGAACCACCACCGCGGCGATCAACGGGCACGGTTTAGGGTTTAGGGTTTAGGGTTTATGGTTTAGGGAGCTTTCCACACTTCTATCGTAATCGTGCAGCCAGGCTTCTCATCTGCAGCTTCAGGCATATTTGGCCAGTACTGCAGCTCGAGGTGCACTCTTTCTCCGTGTAGCTTGTGCATCTCTTCTGGTCCTCAAAGCAAAAGCTTCAGGCTCGGACATGCTCAGACGTGTTCTCATCCCTGAAGCTCAGCTCTGCATCTCAAAGTGCAATGCCCCATCTTCTTGCAGATGCGCTTCGTACTTCGGGCACTCCGAGGTCCAAGACTCGTCCCGCCAACATTCCTGAATTCTACCGCAGAAGAGGAAGAGTCTCGTCGGGAGTGGCTGTTTTGGCGTTGACTCTAACAATATAGCGGTGTCCTAAACTCCATGTTCCTTTCTGGGGGAGGTTGTCCTGTTTAGGTGCCAGCATGTGAGGGGCACCTTGAACCGAGGCCCCCCGAAGACCACATTGACTTCAAATCCTTTGGCGGAGAATTAAACCAACCCTTATACAATCGTTCTGAAAAGCTATACAACTCGACACACAGCCTTTCAAACCCTCATGAAACGCATAGATCAGAACCCCTACAACGAAGGGACTGGGGGGGGGGTCCCTTTTTGGGGGAGGCCCGGCCCCTCAGTGCATCGCCGAGGCACATTCGCTCGGCTCATCTCTCGACGCATCACAAGAGAGTCCTTTCTAGGGCTTTGCTGCCTAGAGGCTTGCTTCAGGGGCGGGGCCCTAGACTTGTTCGACAAAGTAGGGCTTTCCCGGGGGTGGTATGATATAGGAGTCCATGTCGGATTCATACGTTGACATGGCCTTCAAAGGGTCGCCACGGGCTTGCCGAAGGGTTTAGGTTCGAAACCTTGAGCCGGAAATCCCGATCCCTGAAACTCTAACCCCCAAGCCTAACACGAAGCCAAGGCAGGGCCGTTTTGGGCTGTTGCAGGTTCCTTTGAAGGGATCCATAGAGGTTCCGGTTCCTTTGAGGGACCTACGAAGGGTCCCTTGAAGGGATCTACAAGCACCGAAGCAGAACCACTCCTTCTGGACGCTTCCATCCGAGAGAACTTCTGCGTGGTGAGACATGGCCTTGCGAAAAAGCTTGCAAGACAAGCCGTCTAAAGAGGGCCCAATGGTCCTGAAGAAAAGAGGTCCTTAAGAAAAGAGTGCACCTTAAAATGAAATTGCCCTTCCTACGATTCAAGATTTCTCCCTTATTGCAGTCGCATTGGGCTGTCCAGCGCATGCAATGCTCGGCCTCTGCATGCCTGCACAACTCAGCGAAGACAACAACCTCGGTCAAGGTCTGCCTTCAGAATGAGGGCAGGGTTTCGGGGCACTCTACGATAAAGGGAAGAATAGAGGGGACAAAGGGGAGAACCTTCAACCCAGCAACGTAAATGTAAACGTAGTTACGGCTGTCAGAAACCATCGTCATAGCTACAGCAGCTAGGGTCCATGGTCAATGGTGATGGCCGTAGTTATCCTTATGGCAGTAGCTACTGAACGAAAACTCATGACAGCAACAGCATGGAATGGCAAAAACCATGGCAAGTGCTACTTACCATTGAAACACGTAGAACTGTACCAGTGTCGTGTCTTGTGGCTGCAGCCCAGATGCATCGATGAGGACTGTGAGGATGTGTCCGTGCATCCTGAACCATCCAGCTTGTCCACGGATCTTTAACGATGCGAAGAACCATCACTGCTTCTGCTGTGCATCCGGGCTTGGGCGCCGACGGAGCCTCACAACGTATGGAGAAGCATAGGCCTGCATCCAGATTCAGCTTTTGTCAGAAGAATGATGAAACGCCACACTATCAAGACCAGTGGGACGAAGGAAAACAAGGATAAGTATCATCACGTGCACTAAGCCCTAAACATTCCAACAGAACTGCAATCCCTAGACCTCGATTTGGAAGAAGACGTAGCTTGCCCCAGGCTTCCCTTGAGCCCAAAGACTTGCGGGATGCGATATAGAAATGTAGGTGTCGACAAGTGCGTGAATGTGATCATACATACACATATACATATATAATATGGAGAGCGAACAGGATCCTACTGTTTAGGCTCTGAAAAACGGGGGCGCGCTCTGAATAGGCATCTGCGCTCTCGGGTGCTGGGTGTCGGACTGTGGTAACTGAGTTTAGTCTGGGGTTTTTTGGAGCTCCGAGTGTCAGATGCGCCACATCACCAGAGGCACCCCACACTCTGCCCTCTCTGCCGTCCTACACTCTCTCCTAATTCCCCCGACTCTCTCGACCCCTAAAATCATGAAACCCCAAACCCCAAACCCCTGCAACCCAAGTCAGCTTGCTGCCGCTTGGCTTTTGCATCTGTCCGACTCTAAGCTGGCCTGGCCGAGCCTCACTCAGCCATACCAACGCCACCCACTGCAAGCACTTCTGCAAGAGGGGGAGGTTGTTCCAAACTAAGTAACTAGGGTTCATGATATCCAAATATACTAGTTGGTCGCAACAGTTGACGCCAACAAACCATAATCTGGAAACAACTCTCCCACACGTGGGCTCCATTAGCATGCCACAAACTTGGCGCTTCGGCTGGAGACCTGCAATTTTCCGCTTCTGGTGTATGCGTGCTACCATCAGCCAGCAGCCAAATTTGGGACTTTCCGAAAACTAGGATACCTTATTTTGGGGTCCTTATAATAAGGATCCTGCTGTTTGGGGTACTTTTTGTTAGGGTCCCCTAATTTTCGGAAACCCCCATGTAGCAAAGCATGAAAATTGGAACTCATGCCGGAATGGCATGGCTGCATGGCCCATCTCACCGATCCGGGGGAGGTCACGCTAGCGCAGGCCTCCAAGCAACAGGGAGGCATGGATAAGCTACTTGACAGATGTGGTTTAGGGTTTAGGGTTTGTGGCCGTACTACATCTTGCAAATCTGACAAGATGATGAGAAGAAAAACCTCACCCTAAAACCCTGACAGTACATGTTAGCACCTGGTATCATCAGAGACCCATGTCATATCATGCGAGACTGTGGCGAGACCTGCTTGCACCGAGTCTCTGAGGTCCTGACGACACGATGTTGCTTTCACCTGAATCATAAGGACCCTTAGGTGGTACGGGGAGAGGGGGGGTAGGGGGCCCCAATAAGGCCCATTGAACGAAGTATAGTCCCCTACCCCCCCCCCCTTTTGAATGTTACTGGGCTTCCACTTGGACCGATTCTCTGACGGACTAGTAAATGGCCCAAGGCGTTTCTACTTGGAGCTTCTGACTCAAATCTCCAATGGTTCAGAGCCTTGTGCTCCGAAACTTGGGACTTAGGGCTCAGGGCACTTAGGCATTTTTGTTAGGTTTTCTGCTTTTCTCTTAGGGTCGCCGCTGCATCCAAGGCACCCTCCTCGGGCACCGGCCATCGCACGGGCTGCAGGCCGCGCTGGGCAGGATCCCGGTGTGGGCTTAGGGTCTCTGGGTTCTCCGGGGTTTGGGGAGTAGAACTGCTGGCTTCGGGGCTTAGGATTTCCGGACTTTGAAGAGATCAACTCCGACGGATTTAGACTCGAGACTCAAAGAAACAACATCGATCACACCTATAAACAGAACACAGCAGGAAGAACATCCACACGTGCATGCATACCCACTTGCTTGCCTACTTACTTGCTTGCTTAACCACCTACTTACCCACTACTAACTGACTTCATCAATCAATTCTCAAGTCTTGACTTATGTCTACCTGCATGTGCATGCATACGCAGAGCTACACAGATAGTATATGATATATATATATATA